CAAGAGGAGAAGAGCGCCTCTTGTGCTGCCGTGGCTGAGCAGCGGAGAGCAGCAGGGGCAGAGAGCCAGGCAGCTTCCCCACGCGGCCCCAGAGGCCACGGCCGCGCTGTGCTGGACGCACTGCAGCGCGTGGCACGCGCCACCCGCAGCAGGGTTGCGGCTGTGATCCGGCGCCGTGGCCGGAAGCCGGAGCCACAGAGGGAGGCGGAAGAAGGTAGGGAGGCGCAACAAGGTAGGGAGGCAGCCATAGCGGGAACATCCACAGCAGCAGGGCCACAGAGCCAGGACTCTGCCCTGCAAAGCCCCTGCTGCCCCCCCAGCCCCTTCCCAAGCCATCGGGAAGCTCTCAGTGGGCAGAGGGCCGGGGCAGCAGCGCGGGCAGTCGTGCCGGTGGCAGAAAGCGAGGACGGGGCCTGCTCTGAGGATGAGAGTCTCTGGGATATCTCCAGCCTCCCCTTGCCGTCAACAGAAGATGAAAACACAGAGGAGAGCTGGAGTAGTGGGGAAGAATGTAGCTCAGTGTCCCTCCCGTGCCAGGCATGGGCACGGATGCCCCAGGACTCTCAAGCAGGCACAGCCTCAGTCCCTGGCCCAGGTGTCAGTAGCACAAGCTCTTACACCAGGCCAAAGGCCCCCAGCCCGCATGGCTTTCCAGACCACTGCACCCTCAACCCCCGGCCAAGCGACCTGGAAGCTCGCAGGGGGCAGTGGGCAGGGACAGCAGCCAAGGCCGTCCTCTCAGTGGCACCGAGCCAGGACGGCCCCTGGTCCGAGGAGCTCTCAGACAGCTGCAGCCTCCTCGAGCTGCCCCCAGAGCAAGACAGCAGAGACCGAAGCTGGGCGAGTGGAGAAAAGGGGTTCCCCGTGCCCGTCCCACGGGAGGCGTGGGCAGAGCCCCGGGGCCTTCAAGCGGCCACAGCCAGAGCCCGTGCCCCAGCTGGCCGCATCAGCAGCCCCTACATCAGGCCAAAGGCCCTGACCCCGGACGCCCGCCCCCCCAGCCCCTCCCCAAGCCAGCTGGAGGCTCTCAGTGGGCCGTGGACAGGGCTCTGGACCATCTGCGGGGAGTGGCGAGGGGAAGAAAACAGAGAGCGACCGCTGTCCCCCGAGGAAGACAGCAGCGACAGCGAGCTGTCAGAGGAGGACGGGGAAGGCGTCCAGATCTACAGCATCTGGGTCAAGCCCTCCCTCGCGCCACTCCTGCTGCAGCCTCAGACCGCTTGCCGGGAAGGGCCCCAATGCGCCTGCCTCGTGTGCGCAGAGGCGGCCCAAGAGGCAGGCGGGGACCCGCACAGCGCATCTCCTGCCCCGGCGGGTGGCAGGCACAGCCAGCCAACAGCAGCTGCCCCGCAGCGCCCCAGAGGCCGCTGCCCCGCCGTGCTGGACGCGCTGCGGCGCGTGGCACGTGCCACCCTGAGCAGGATTGCAGCTGTGATCCGGCACCGTGGCCAGCAGCCAGGGGCAGAGCGGGACCTGGCTCGAGGCGTGGATGCGGCCGTGGTGGCAACAGCCCCAGCAGCAGGGGCGGAGAGCCAGGCAGCTGCCCTGCACAGCCCCTGCGGCCCCCCCAGCCCCTCATCCAGCCGGCTGGAAGCTCTCAGGGGGCAGTGGGCAGGGGCAGCGGCGCAGACGGTCCTGCCCCCACCACAGAGCCAGGAGGGGGCCTGGTCTGAGGACGAGAGTCTCTGGGACGTCTCCAGCCTCTTAGAGCGCTGCCAGGGCCAAGAAAACAGGCAGCAAAGCGGCAGTACTGGGGCAGCCAGTAGCTCTGGGTCCCTCCCGTGTGAGTCATGGCCAGAGCCCTGCGACACGTCAACGTCAGCAGACACATCCACCGACTGAGTTGCTGGGGGCAGTCTGCAGCGTTGGCGAGTCGAGCCCAAGTCAACTCTGGCTGTCTCAGCGCAGCGGCCCTCTCTCTTCAGGGAGGCACTGCGGGCTCTGCGCAGGGCATTCCGCCCGCCCTGCCTGGCGGGACAGCATGGCGGTTCCCAGGCTGCGGCGCTGCCCGCACTGACATCCGCCTGATGGCCGGTCACCACGGGTGTCTCCCAGGGCTCGCTCTTGGGGCCAGTGCCCTTGCTCCCTTGGCTGGAATTGCCCTTTCCCCACTCATCGAGGACTTTGCCTGACTGCCACGGCTTTTCCAAAACGATGCCTAGTGGCCTAGCCACTTTGTCTGCCGGCTCCCTCAGGACCTGTGGGTGATCCTCAGCGGGTCCCTCGTGCACCTTCCGGTGCCTTCCGTGCTCTCCAACGTGATCCTCTGCTGCAGGGGACTTAGGCTCTTCTTCTGCCAGTCCCTGCATTTGCCTTTCTCCACTTGGGCGGTGTGGCTGGAGCACTTGCCGTTGAAGACTGAAGCACAGAAGCCATCGAGAGCCTCAGCCTTCTCTTGGTGCACGAGAGCCACGGCTGCCAGTTCCTTCCGGAGAGGGCCCACCTTATCCCTAGTCTCCCTTTAGCAAGATAGCTGTAGAAGCCCTTCCTGTCCTCCTTAAGAGCTCTGGCCAGACTCAATTCGAGCTGGGCCTTGGCTTGCCTACCCTCGTCCCCATCCTCCCAGACCACCTGTCCTTGTTCCCGTTCCCTGAAAGAGGAGAATTAGTCCCCTTAGGTTCTGTAGGTTAAAGTAGGGGTAGGGAAGAATTAGTCGAGTAAGTTCTGTAGCTTAAAGTAGGTGTAGGGAAGAATTAGTCGAGTAAGTTCTGTAGCTTAAAGTAGGGTTAGGTGTTCCTGGTGCTCTCCACTCCAATTTAAAAGCACAAGGACAAGGCCGTCTCACGCTTTCCCTTCCCGTTTAATGACAAACATGACAACGGGTGCTTTAGCGAGGGCGGTGACATAGGAGAGCCGAGTCTTTAAGGTGGACTTCTGAAAGTTTCAAATAAAGATTGGTTTTGAAAGAGAACTGTCAGGAAGTTCTTGTTTGGAAAGGGAAGAATATTTAGCGGTTGGGCTAGGACTTGTTCCTTAGGCAGCTGAGCTGTGTCCCTTGGCAAGTGTGCGTGCAAGAGAGCTGTCCTGGAGGCTGAAGGCAGCAGAGGGACGTCCGTAAGCACAGCTGGGCAACAGCCACCAAGTCGGCCTTTCCTTCTTGGAAGTAGAAATTTGGTTTTCGGTGTCTCCCGCCGTTCCTGTGTTCCTGCCCTCCCCTTTCGAAGGAGGAGTTCTTGGAAGATGTGCCTTGCAGGGCTGGGCCGCTGCTAAATGACAACAGAATAACCAGACGCCTTTCTTGAAAGAAAGCTCCCGGTTCGCTCAAGAAGCAGGACTGGTTCTTTTCCTCACACTGGAGTCCTCGATTTGGGGGGAAAAAAGCATCCAGAAGACCCAAGCCTTTTAGTTGCTGGGGTCAGCCTGTGTCGTGTGGGGCGAAGGAGAAAGGTGCTGCCTGGGGCGGGGCGGGACGGGGTGGGAGGGCTGCAGGCATGAGAGGGTGAAGTCCGACTGCGGGCAGAGCCCCGGGACCTTCAAGCGTGCAGCCCCCCAGTCCACGGCCCAGCTCTCCCCATCAGAAGCCCTCAAAGCAGGGCAAAGGCTCCGCCCCTGCCCTACTTCTCCTGCTGCACCTCCGGTCCATCGCCAAGCGCACCCGAAGCTGGCAGTGGGCAGTGGGCAGTGGGCAGGGGCGGCGGTGGAGGCCGTCCTGCCAGTGGCACAGACCGAGGCTCTGGGACGTCTCCTGCCTCCTAGAGCTGTGCCAAGGGCAAGAAATCACAAAACAAGTGGTGTCCCGTGGGGAAGAAGCGAGGAGAAAGAGCTGTGTCAGGAAAGCAGGAAAGAGAGCAAAACGCACGCTTGCCTGGGTTGGGCCCTTGCAGCCGGCACTCTTGCTGAAGGCCCACACCGGTTGCCGGGAGGGGCCCGGTTACCCCGCCAGTGTGGGCAGAGGCGCTGAGCTGCTCAGCACACGGCCTGCCCCAGCAAGTGGCCAGGTCCCCCGCGTTGTTCCAGACCGGCTTCTTTGCCTCTGTTATGCCAGAGGCCGATGCAAGAGATGTAGGGCTTGAAGGCCGCCTGGGAAATAGTGGCCATGAAATAATAGATTTTTCAATACTCCGAGATTCAAGGAGAGCCACCAATAAGACCTCTACGCTGGACTTCTGGAGGGCAGATTTTGACCTATTCAGAAGTCTAGTCCAGAGCATACCCTGGGAAACAAGCCTTGAAAACAAGGGGGTCCAGGAGGCATGGATGTGCTTCAAGCAGGAAGTTTTGAGTGCACAGGAACAGGCCGTACCGGTGTGCCGAAAGGCAAGCCGGCGGGGAAGGCAACCAGCTTGGTTAAACCGGGAGATCGTGTAGGAAAAGAGGGATAAAAAAAGAGAGTTTACCGACTATAGAAGAAAGGACTGGCTACTTACGAAGACTTTAGGAAGACAGCTAGATCATGCAGAAGGAAAATCAGGGATACAAAAGTGCAATTTGAAGTTAATTTGGCCACTTCTGTTAGGGATAACAAAAAGTCCTTCTATAAATAGATTAATAACAAAAGGAGGGGCAAAGAAAACCTCCATTCTTTGATGGACTTGGAGGGAAACATAGTTAATAGAGATGAAGAGAAGGCTGAGGTACTTAACACCTACTTTGCCTCAGTTTTTACCAGTAAGACAGGTGGCCCTCAAGGCAACTGGCCTCTGGAGCTGGTAGACAGAGATAGGAAGCCTAACAGCCCCCTTGTATTGCAGGAGGAAATAGTTAGGGACTTACTGAGTCATCTGGATCCTCGTAAGTCTATGGGAGCAGACGGGATCCATCCTAGGGTGATGAGGGAGCTGGCAGAAGAGCTTGCCAAGTCACTCTCCATCATTTTCCAACAGTCTTGGCTCACTGGGGAGGACCCATATGATTGGAAGTTGGCAAATATCACCCCAATCCGTAAAAAAGGCTGCAAGGCTGACCTTGGTAACTACAGGCCTGTCAGCCTGACCTGGGTGCCTGGAAGAGTTATGGAGAAGATCATCCTGTGTGCAATCACAGCTCCAGGATGGACAAGGGATCAGAGCCAACCAGCACAGGTTTAGGAGGGGCAGATCCTGTTTGACCAACCGGATCTCCTTTTACGATCAGGTGACCCAGCTGGTGGATGAGGGGAAGGCTGTGGATGTGGTCTATCTGGACTTCAGCAAAGCCTTTGATACTGTCTCCCATAACATACTCCTGGAAAAGCTGGCAGCCCACGGCTTGGACAGGGGCACTCTGTGCTGGGTCAGGAACCGGCTGGAGGGCCGGGCCCGGAGAGTGCTGGTGAACGGGGCTGCCTCCAGCTGGTGGCCGGTCACCAGTGGTGTCCCCCAGGGGTCAGTGCTGGGCCCAGTCCTTTTTAACATCTTTATTGATGATTTAGGTGAGGGGATTGAGACCATCATCAGCAAATTTGCAGATGACACCAAGTTGGGAGGGAGTGTCGACCTGCCGGAAGGCAGGAGGGCTCTGCAGAGGGATCTGGATAGACTGGAGAGATGGGCTGACTTCGATGGAATGAAGATCAACAAGACCAAGTGCCGGGTCCTGCACTTTGGCCACAACAACCCCCTGCAGCGCTACAGGCTGGGCACAGAGTGGCTGGAGAGCAGCCAGGCAGAAAGGGACCTGGGGGTGCTGATCGACAGGAGGCTGAACACGAACCAGCAGTTTGCCCAGGTGGCCAAGAAGGCCAATGGCATCCTGGTCTGCATGAAGAACAGTGTGACCAGCAGGAGCAGGGAAGTGATCCTTCCCCTGGACTCAGTGCTGGTGAGGCCACACCTTGAGCATTGTGTTCAGCTCTGGGCCCCTCAGTTCAGGAAGGATATTGAGGTGCTGGAGCGGGTCCAGAGAAGAGCAACTGGTGGAGACTGGTGAAGGGACTCAAGCACAAGTTTCACGAGGAGATGTTGAGGGAGCTGAGGTTGTTTAGTCTGGAGAAGAGAAGGCTTAGAGGTGACCTCATCACTCTCTTCAAGTACCTGAAGGGAGGTTATAGCCAGGTGGGGGTTGGTCTCTTCTCTCAGGCAACCAACAATAGGACAAGGGGACATGGGCTCAAGCTCTGCCAGGGGAGGTTTAGGTTAGAGGTTAGGAAGAAATTCTTTACAGAGAGGGTAATCAGGCATTGGAACGGCCTGCCCAGAGACGTGGTGGATTCACCATCCCTGGAGGTTTTTAAACAGAGATTGGACCTGGCCCTTAGTGCCATAATATAGTAATTGGAGTTGGATCAGGGGTTGGACTCGCTGATCTTGGAGGTCTTTTCCAACCCAATCTATTCTATGATTCTATGATTCTATGATCCACACACACACGGTCGAGGGATTGCATTTATTGACAGTTGTCAAAACCTTAGCAAGGCAATTCTCCTGACAAGGAACTTATCTGTCTGAGCCCGGGCCGTGCCGCAGCCACGGCTGGCTGCCCCGGGGGGGTGGCACCGCCAGCTGCCGGATGCAGACAGGGCTGAGCTCTGGGGAGGCCACGGGCAGTGGGGTCCTGCGGGAGCTGTTGGCTGGGGCCGGCTGGAGCGTCTGGGATGGGAAAGCGGGGCAGCCTTGTGCCGGGCACAGCCGCTTCCAACCAGTTGCAGCCGTCAGCTGCCCTCAGCTGTGCGCCCCCAGGCCTGCTGCCCTAGGGGTGCCGGGCAATGGCCCATTGTGACAGCATTGCCGGGCCCTTTGTGATGCAGGGCCTCCTTGGGCCCAGAGGCCATTGTGACACCGCGGGGCCCCGCCCCTGACCGGGAGGCTAACAAGGGCGGGCGGAACCCCGGAGTGCACACTCCTAGGAGAGCCTCTGTGTCAGGAGGCAGCATCTCTCTCGGGGACCTCAGCGGCGGAGGAAGAAGCCGACGTGGAAGATGGAGAAGTTCAGCGACTTGCAGACGCGCAAGTGGCTGCCGAGCTGGCAGAGGAAGCACAAGGTGAGGGATAGGGTAGTAGAGAGCTGCCTTGGCGCCAGGGCGGGCTGTGCTTGCGGGCACCCAGAGGCTGGATGTGCCGTGGCAACCGCCTCCATCCCACACCACCATCTCTCCTCCTCCTCCTCCTCCTTGCCACAGGTGGACAACCGGCAGACGCAGGCAGCAGCGCAGCAAGAGGAGAAGAGCGCCTCTTGTGCTGCCGTGGCTGAGCAGCGGAGAGCAGCAGGGGCAGAGAGCCAGGCAGCTGCCCCACGCAGCCCCAGAGGCCACGGCCGCGCTGTGCTGGACGCACTGCAGCGCGTGGCACGCGCCACCCGCAGCAGGGTTGCGGCTGTGATCCGGCGCCGTGGCCGGAAGCCGGAGCCACAGAGGGAGGCGGAAGAAGGTAGGGAGGCGCAACAAGGTAGGGAGGCAGCCATAGCGGGAACATCCACAGCAGCAGGGCCACAGAGCCAGGACTCTGCCCTGCAAAGCCCCTGCTGCTCCCCAGCCCCTTCCCAAGCCATCGGGAAGCTCTCAGTGGGCAGCGGGCCGGGGCAGCAGCGCGGGCAGTCGTGCCGGTGGCAGAGAGCGAGGACGGGGCCTGCTCTGAGGATGAGAGTCTCTGGGATATCTCCAGCCTCCCCTTGCCGTCAACAGAAGATGAAAACACAGAGGAGAGCTGGAGTAGTGGGGAAGAATGTAGCTCAGTGTCCCTCCCGTGCCCGGCATGGGCACGGATGCCCCGGGACTCTCAAGCAGGCACAGCCTCAGTCCCTGGCCCAGGTGTCAGTAGCACAAGCTCTTACACCGGGCCAAAGGCCCCCAGCCCGCACGGCTTTCCAGACTGCTGCACCCTCAGCCCCTGGCCAAGCGACCTGGAAGCTCGCAGGGGGCAGTGGGCAGGGACAGCAGCCAAGGCCGTCCTCTCAGTGGCACCGAGCCAGGACGGCCCCTGGTCCGAGGAGCTCTCAGACAGCTGCAGCCTCCTCGAGCTGCCCCCAGAGCAAGACAGCAGAGACCGAAGCTGGGCGAGTGGAGACAAGGGGTTCCCCGTGCCCGTCCCACGGGAGGCGTGGGCAGAGCCCCGGGGCCTTCAAGCGGCCACAGCCAGAGCCCGTGCCCCAGCTGGCCGCATCAGCAGCCCCTACATCAGGCCAAAGGCCCTGACCCCGGACGCCCGCCCCCCAGCCCCTCCCCAAGCCAGCTGGAGGCTCTCAGTGGGCCGTGGACAGGGCTCTGGACCATCTGCGGGGAGTGGCGAGGGGAAGAAAACAGAGAGCGACCGCTGTCCCCCGAGGAAGACGGCAGCGACAGCGAGCTGTCAGAGGAGGACGGGGAAGGCGTCCAGATCTACAGCATCTGGGTCAAGCCCTCCCTCGCGCCACTCCTGCTGCAGCCTCAGACCGCTTGCCGGGAAGGGCCCCAATGCGCCTGCCTCGTGTGCGCAGAGGCGGCCCAAGAGGCAGGCGGGGACCCGCACAGCGCATCTCCTGCCCCGGCGGGTGGCAGGCACAGCCAGCCAACAGCAGCTGCCCCGCAGCGCCCCAGAGGCCGCTGCCCTGCCGTGCTGGACGCGCTGCGGCGCGTGGCACGTGCCACCCTGAGCAGGATTGCAGCTGTGATCCGGCACCGTGGCCAGCAGCCGGGGGCAGAGCGGGACCTGGCTCGAGCCGTGGATGCGGCCGTGGTGGCAACAGCCCCAGCAGCAGGGGCGGAGAGCCAGGCAGCTGCCCTGCACAGCCCCTGCGGCCCCCCCAGCCCCTCATCCAGCCGGCTGGAAGCTCTCAGGGGGCAGTGGGCAGGGGCAGCGGCGCAGACGGTCCTGCCCCCTCCACAGAGCCAGGAGGGGGCCTGGTCTGAGGACGAGAGTCTCTGGGACGTCTCCAGCCTCTTAGAGCGCTGCCAGGGCCAAGAAAACAGGCAGCAAAGCGGCAGTACTGGGGCAGCCAGTAGCTCTGGGTCCCTCCCGTGTGAGTCATGGCCAGAGCCCTGCGACACGTCAACGTCAGCAGACACATCCACCGACTGAGCTGCTGGGGGCAGTCTGCAGCGTTGGCGAGTCGAGCCCAAGTCAGCTCCGGCTGTCTCAGCGCAGCGGCCCTCTCTCTTCAGGGAGGCACTGCGGGCTCTGCGCAGGGCATTCCGCCCGCCCTGCCTGGCGGGACAGCATGGCGGCTCCCAGGCTGCGGCGCTGCCCGCACTGACATCCGCCTGATGGCCGGTCACCACGGGGGTCTCCCAGGGCTCGCTCTTGGGGCCAGTGCCGTTGCTCCCTTGGCTGGTATTGCCCTTTCTCCACTCACCGAGGACTTTGCCTGACTGCCACGGCTTTTCCAAAACGATGCCTAGTGGCCTAGCCACTTTGTCTGCCGGCTCCCTCAGGACCTGTGGGTGACTCTCAGCGGGTCCCTCGTGCACCTTCAGGTGCCTTCCGTGCTCTCCAACGTGATCCTCTGCTGCAGGGGACTTAGGCTCTTCTTCTGCCAATCCCTGCATTTGCCTTTCTCCACTTGGGCGGTGTGGCTGGAGCACTTGCTGTTGAAGACTGAAGCACAGAAGCCATCGAGAGCCTCAGCCTTCTCTTGGTGCATGAGAGCCACGGCTGCCAGTTCCTTCCGGAGAGGGCCCACCTTATCCCTAGTCTCCCTTTAGCAAGATAGCTGTAGAAGCCCTTCCTGTCCTCCTTAAGAGCTCTGGCCAGACTCAATTCGAGCTGGGCCTTGGCTTGCCTACCCTTGTCCCCATCCTCCCAGACCACCTGTCCTTGTTCCCGTTCCCTGAAAGAGGAGAATTAGTCCCCTTAGGTTCTGTAGGTTAAAGTAGGGGTAGGGAAGAATTAGTCGAGTAAGTTCTGTAGCTTAAAGTAGGGGTAGGGAAGAATTAGTCGAGTAAGTTCTGTAGCTTAAAGTAGGGTTAGGTGTTCCTGGTGCTCTCCACTCCAATTTAAAAGCACAAGGACAAGGCCGTCTCACGCTTTCCCTTCCCGTTTAATGACAAACATGACAACGGGTGCTTTAGCGAGGGCGGTGACATAGGAGAGCCGAGTCTTTAAGGTGGACTTCTGAAAGTTTCAAATAAAGATTGGTTTTGAAAGAGAACTGTCAGGAAGTTCTTGTTTGGAAAGGGAAGAATATTTAGCGGTTGGGCTAGGACTTGTTCCTTAGGCAGCTGAGCTGTGTCCCTTGGCAAGTGTGCGTGCAAGAGAGCTGTCCTGGAGGCTGAAGGCGGCAGAGGGACGTCCGTAAGCACAGCTGGGCAACAGCCACCAAGTCGGCCTTTCCTTCTTGGAAGTAGAAATTTGGTTTTCGGTGTCTCCCGCCGTTCCTGTGTTCCTGCCCTCCCCTTTCGAAGGAGGAGTTCTTGGAAGACGTGCCTCGCGGGGCTGGGCCGCTGCTAAATGACAACAGAATAACCAGACGCCTTTCTTGAAAGAAAGCTCCTGGTTCGCTCAAGAAGCAGGACTGGTTCTTTTCCTCACACTGGAGTCCTCGATTTGGGGGGAAAAAAGCATCCAGAAGACCCAAGCCTTTTAGTTGCTGGGGTCAGCCTGTGTCGTGTGGGGCGAAGGAGAAAGGCGCTGCCTGGGGCGGGGCGGGACGGGGTGGGAGGGCTGCAGGCATGAGAGGGTGAAGTCCGGCTGCGGGCAGAGCCCCGGGACCTTCAAGCGTGCAGCCCCCCAGTCCACGGCCCAGCTCTCCCCATCAGAAGCCCTCAAAGCAGGGCAAAGGCTCCGCCCCTGCCCTACTTCTCCTGCTGCACCTCCGGTCCATCGCCAAGCGCACCCGAAGCTGGCAGTGGGCAGTGGGCAGTGGGCAGGGGCGGCGGTGGAGGCCGTCCTGCCAGTGGCACAGACCGAGGCTCTGGGACGTCTCCTGCCTCCTAGAGCTGTGCCAAGGGCAAGAAATCGCAGAGTGAGCTGTGTCCCGTGGGGAAGAAGCGAGGAGAAAGAGCTGTGTCAGGAAAGCAGGAAAGAGAGCAAAACGCACGCTTGCCTGGGTTGGGCCCTTGCAGCCGGCACTCTTGCTGAAGGCCCACACCGGTTGCCGGGAGGGGCCCGGTTACCCCGCCAGTGTGGGCAGAGGCGCTGAGCTGCACAGCACACGGCCTGCCCCAGCAAGTGGCCAGGTCCCCCCCGTTGTCCCAGACCGGCTTCTTTGCCTCTGTTATGCCAGAGGCCGATGCAAGAGATGTAGGGCTTGAAGGCCGCCTGGGAAATAGTGGCCATGAAATAATAGAATTTTCAATACTCCGAGATTCAAGGAGAGCCACCAATAAGACCTCTACGCTGGTCTTCCGGAGGGCAGGTTTTGACCTATTCAGAAGTCTAGTCCAGAGCATACCCTGGGAAACAAGCCTTGAAAACAAGGGGGTCCAGGAGGCATGGATGTGCTTCAAGCAGGAAGTTTTGAGTGAACAGGAACAGGCCGTACCGGTGTGCCGAAAGGCAAGCCGGCGGGGAAGACAACCAGCCTGGTTAAACTGGGAGATTGTGAAGGAAATCAGGGATAAAAAGAGAGTTTACCGACTGTGGAAGAAAGGGCTGGCTACTTACGAAGACTTTAGGAAGACAGCTAGATCATGCAGAAGGAAAATCAGGGATACAAAAGTGCAATTTGAAGTTAATTTGGCCACTTCTGTTAGGGATAACAAAAAGTCCTTCTATAAAGAGGTTAATAACAAAAGGAGGGGCAAAGAAAACCTCCATTCTTTGATGGACTTGGAGGGAAACATAGTTAATAGAGATGAAGAGAAGGCTGAGGTACTTAACACCTACTTTGCCTCAGTTTTTACCAGTAAGACAGGTGGCCCTCAAGGCAACTGGCCTCTGGAGCTGGTAGACAGAGATAGGAAGCCTAACAGCCCCCTTGTATTGCAGGAGGAAATAGTTAGGGACTTACTGAGTCATCTGGATCCTCGTAAGTCTATGGGAGCAGACGGGATCCATCCTAGGGTGATGAGGGAGCTGGCAGAAGAGCTTGCCAAGCCACTCTCCATCATCTTCCAACAGTCTTGGCTCACTGGGGAGGTCCCATATGATTGGAAGTTGGCAAATATCACCCCAATCCGTAAAAAAGGCTGCAAGGCTGACCCTGGTAACTCCAGGCCTGTCAGCCTGACCTGGGTGCCTGGCAGAGTTATGGAGCAGATCATCCTGTGTGCAATCACACAGCAGCTCCAGGACGGACAAGGGATCAGAGCCAGCCAGCACGGGTTTAGGAGGGGCAGATCCTGTTTGACCAACCAGATCTCCTTTTACGATCAGGTGACCCAGCTGGTGGATGAGGGGAAGGCTGTGGATGTGGTCTATCTGGACTTCAGCAAAGCCTTTGACACTGTCTCCCATAACATACTCCTGGAAAAGCTGGCAACCCACGGCTTGGACAGGGGCACTCTGTGCTGGGTCAGGAACCGGCTGGAGGGCCGGGCCCGGAGAGTGCTGGTGAACGGGGCTGCCTCCAGCTGGTGGCCGGTCACCAGTGGTGTCCCCCAGGGGTCAGTGCTGGGCCCAGTCCTTTTTAACATCTTTATTGATGATTTAGGTGAGGGGATTGAGACCATCATCAGCAAATTTGCAGATGACACCAAGTTGGGAGGGAGTGTCAACCTACCAGAAGGCAGGAGGGCTCTGCAGAGGGATCTGGATAGACTGGAGAGATGGGCTGACTCCAATGGGATGAAGTTCAACAAGGCCAAGTGCCGGGTCCTGCACTTTGGCCACAACAACCCCTGCAGCGCTACAGGCTGGGGACAGAGTGGTTGGAGAGCAGCCAGGCAGAAAGGGACCGGGGGGGTGCTGATTGACAGGAAGCTGAACATGAGCCAGCAGTGTGCCCAGGTGGCCAAGAAGGCCAATGGCATCCTGGCCTGCATCAAGAACAGTGTGGCCAGCAGGAGCAGGGAAGTGATCCTTCCCCTGTACTCTGCGTTGGTGAGGCCACACCTTGAGTATTGTGTTCAGCTCTGGGCCCCTCAGTTCAGGAAGGATATTGAGGTGCTGGAGCGGGTCCAGAGAAGAGCAACCAGGCTGGTGAAGGGACTTGAGCACAAGTCCTATGAGGAGAGGCTGAGGGAGCTGGGATTGTTTAGTCTGGAGAAGAGAAGGCTTAGAGGTGACCTCATCACTCTCTTCAACTACCTGAAGGGAAGTTATAGCCAGGTGGGGGTTGGTCTCTTCTCCCAGGCAACCAACAACAGGACAAGGGGACATGGGCTCAAGCTCTGCCAGGGGAAGTTTAGGTTAGATGTTAGGAAGAAATTCTTTACAGAGAGGGTGATCAGGCATTGGAACGGCCTGCCCAGAGAGGTGGTGGATTCACCATCCCTGGAAGTTTTTAAAAAGAGATTGGACATGGCCCTTAGTGCCATGATATAGTAATTAGAGTTGGATCAGGGGTTGGACTTGATGATCTTGGAGGTCTTTTCCAACCCAATCTATTCTATGATTCTATGACTTGCTTTTTATATTTTTACCCACATAGACTGGATGAATTATTTAGGAACCTTAAATATATAATGCTTTCAAAGCAGGGAAATGGGCCAGGTTTCTAAAGATATCGACTTCCAAAGTACTATGTGGAGAGGAAAAGTATTAGATTATTAAATATTCTCATCTTAATCTTTGCATTACAGACTATCACTGTATTGACTAGAGCAGTGTGCTTTCTTCCTTCTAGAGAAGGGCATTTTAAGAGATTACTAGCTGTCATTCTAGGAAATGCATTACTGTGTCTTATCTTTCCACATAATCAGAAACTCATAGGGTTTGTTGTGTCAAGGTTGGTGTTTTTTCGGCTCTTTTTAAAAGCATGATATGTTGTTTTAATTTTCATGGAGAATAACCTCTTTGTTCAATTGTTAAAGGAGTATAGAGATGTCTATTTACTGCAGGTTTGGATTTTACAAAGTCAGAGCTCCTATTCCAGCATTTCTCTACACAACCTAGAGACTGGGTTCATATGTTCATTAACTAAAGGGAACATAGAAACTGAGTTCAAATAGTAAGAGATCCGAGAATAATAGAATCATAGAATACCCTGAGTTTGATGCTGTGATCGTTTCCCTGGGGAGCTTGATCCAGTGCCCAACCACCTCTCAGTGAAGGACATGTTCCTAATATCCAACCTAAGTGTACCCTATAAATACATATAAATATATGAATAAATGAAACAAATAGTAAATGAGGGAGAAGAAATTATTTCATTTAAGCAGCTATTAAGAATATGAGATTTTATAGACAGTGTAAAAAAGTAAAAGGTTTTACTGATTTCTGATAGAAACACTATATTACTATAGTCCTGAAATTACACTCTACATCCCCATATCAAAGTGCATAAAAACAAGAATTCTAAAGTTTCATTTCTTTCATTTCATAGTGGTAAGGTATTATTTATAAAGAAGGTATTTAATACCTTTTACTCTGATATAAATACAATCACATTCATGTAGAACTTTACTGTAACTTCTGTACTACTGTAATTTTTTTTTTTTTTCTCCTGCATTTTAAAAAAGGGTTAATTCATTAAAAGCTGTAGATTCTGGTTAAAAAATGAGAAAAAATTTCTCAGATTGAAGCAGTGTAACAGACTTACTAGGGCCTCCAGCACTGGAGGTCTTTACGAACAGCCTAAACCGTCTCTGTCAGGAGCAATAAAACCATGGTTGTTTCTGCTCTGGGCTAAGCACGATGATCTCCTGAGTGTCTTCTATCCCTATCAGGCTATTCTGGGACAGTGTCTCAATAAGACATATTCTTCAGTGCTTTTTTAAAAGTTTAATGTACCACAGAATTAATGGTATAGGTTTCACTAGGAAAGGAAAAAAAAATATATATTTTTGAAATATTTCACATGTAGAAGTTTAGCGGTCTTTCTTTCCTAGTGATATAATTCTCCCTGGCTTAGAATAAAAAGAAAATAGGTTATAGGATTACACATTTCAATTTTCCTCAAACAACTCTGAGCTGGAAAACTCTAGAAATCTTTTTCAGTGTAGGTGAGAGGAGAAGAAATGACGTGAGAAGGATTTTTTGATCTTAGAACTTTTTTACAACCACTGCTGTAGTTTAGCTATATGCAGTAAGAAAAGATTTAGAAATCAGAAAAGGAAAGGCATAATGAGAAATTTACCAGTAGCAATATACTCCACAAGTGCAGGAAGCACCACTGTTCTGATGCTTTTGTCTCTGTGCCTTGAACTTCTTGAATTCAACTTCAGTTCTAAAGTATTTGACAGCTGATTGCCCTCAGTATGCAGGGTTACGCATTTCCATACAAAGAAGATTAGGGAAAGTCTTGGAACAGAAGCAGTAAACAACATAAGAATTCCTTCTATCTGAAGTTTGATCATGCATCAAAAATAAGAATTACAAAGGACATTCCATTCCACCTAATTAAAAACATAGATAAAATACTGTGATTAGCCAGGTACAGATCTGGGTATATTGGTGCAGTCTTGATCCTACTGAAATCAGTAACAAAATTCTCACTGCCTGCATTAGAGCTAGGGTATAATTTCTTCTTAAAAGATCTGTATTACAGGGATAATTGAATGAAAGAGTGCAGTGGGTTGACATTGGCTGGACATCAGATACCCACCAAGCCTCTCTATCACTTCCCTTCCCAGCTGGAAAAGGGGAGAGAGAACAAGATGAAAAATGACTGGTAGGCTGATATAAGGCAGTTTACTAAACCAAAAGTGAAAGTTTGTGCACACGCAAATGAAGAGGAAAATAACAAAGTTTATTCCCTACTTCCCATTGGCAAGGGATGTCTGGCTACATCCTGGAAAGCAGGGCTTCAGCACCACACAGTATTTGCTCAGAAGGCAAACATAAAATAACGAATGCCCACACTTCCTCCTCCTTTCCGTAACTTTTTCATCTGAGCTGATGTCATATTGTATGGAATATCCCTTTGGTTAGTTTGGGTCAGCCGGTCCACTTGTGTCCCTCCAAGGATCTTGTCCTTGGCTGGTGAGAGAATGTTACAGTGCTGATGCTGTGCTTAGCAGTACCCAAAAACTCTGGTGTTTTATCAACACCCTTCAAGTTACCAATGCAAAGCACAGCACCATGAACTCCATCTCAGCCAAAAAGAGACAAACTTTCTGAGATTTCTGTCTAAAGAAAAACTTAAAAAAAATTGAATGGGAAGGAAGGAAAGGAGGGAGGGAGGGAGGACTGTTTAAACAAAACTGAAGAAGTTAATCAAAATATTGTAATTTAGAGTTTGTGGGCTTTTCAATATAAATGAAAATCACGAACATTTTAATAAATGTGGAAGTGGAGCAAAAGAAAGAAAAACAGGGAAAACCCACAAAACAAATTAAATTGGTAAGCTAAAAGCTTCTTGAATATATCAAATATTAGATATAGTAAAACCCTACTTATGGACCTCATGCAGGAATCCCAGTAAGTGTTCAGTTTGGACATCTGCTTGTGAACAACATGGAATATATCCCTGCATGCAGTGGATCTTTGAAAGCAGTGGTGCATAAGAACATCCCAATGCCTTGTTTTCTTACTTGAGTCTGATGTTTTCTTATTTACACAGTGTTTCTCAGCTATCTCAGGGCATTGACTAGGTCTCTGTATCCATTTGCTCTCACTAATTAATGCACAGATAAGGGTGAAATACAGAATATGCTGCCCCTGTTTTTATTCCATTGTGAAGGCTATACCTAAAAATATTCTTGTGTGTTTTGGTCGTGCAACACTGGAACACGTGTACATAAGTATGTAAGATCTGACGAGATGCATCTCAGGGTCCTGGAGAAGGGTCTGGGGAAACTCTGATTGCAACCTTTCCATACATACAGGAGAAGGGTGGAGAGAGATTTTTTTTTTTTTATCAGGACCTGTAGAGATAGGAGAAAGCGTAAGAGTTTTTAAATTAAAACAGGGTAGAAATTCTTTACTAGGAAATTGTTGTTTTAAAGTTAATTATTTATGACTTGTGGTTCATAGCAGCATTATTTTCAATTAGTAAACTCAGTAGATCAGAAACTTTTAAAATTATCGTTCTTTTGACTCTCATAGGTAAAAAGGGGGGATATTCCAGAACTGCAAATAAAAACTCATTCATTTAATATTTAATGTGTTACTTATTACCAAATATATGAAACTAAAATCACTTGAGAACAATTTGTTGTACATTTTCTCTTTCCAAGAACACAGTATTTTTTATGATACTGGATTTATCCCTTACAGCAGTTTTCATGGTATTTTCAAAGTAATTGTGACTTAAAAAATCTAAGTTTTTAATGTATAGAAAATTAAAAGTTCCCTGTAGGAAAGGGTTTGACAGTTCTGAGAACAAATACTCATAATACACGTGATACAAATATACAAAAATAGCAAAGGATTATAGCAATAAAAAAAGTAAAGGCTGATGACTGTATGTCAGAAGGAGAAGAAACCAAAGCCTCTAAAAAAAAAAAAAAAAGCAAATACCTAAAAGAGTAATGGAAGCACTGATCTTAGGGACCAGCACTGTTGTTTATGTTGTGCCCCATTTACTTGCCTTCACTTCTTTTGTCACCTGTAACTCAGGTGTAAATAAAATTATCAATGTAATAAGCGGCTGATTCTAATCTTGTTCAATAAACTTAAGAGAAAAGATATCAATATACTTGTTTAATTTCTGGGAAGACTGTGTACACAGTCACTGGGGGAAAGAAGAGTCATTACAAATCACTGAAAGCTGACAGTAATAATTGTGACTAAATAGGTAAGTGAAATACCAGGGCACAGTTTAATATCTGAAGACTTCTATTAGTCATGCCTTAGACATATGCTTCCTAATTACTTTTCTCCTTAACTAACTTATTTAACCTTGGATGCTGTATGAAGGATTATCAATAGGCATGCCTTTTGCGATAGTACCAAAGATTTAAACATAAACAAGACCATTCCAAAGAAATCTTTGGGCCAGCAATTACAAGTAGTCTATCAGAATTCGCAGCATGAGTATTATTTGTATTATTATATTTTGTTGTTTTGAAATGTAATAAACATCATAATTTTCATTTTTCTATGTATGTCAATGGTAGTTTGAAAGATAGTTTGTATAGTAAAATGTGATTAGTGCTTTAAAAAGAGACCTGGCAATTAAACATTCAAACAACAAATGGAAGGTCATGGTGGATGAAGTTCTAACTCTCTGAAGTGTCTCAAACTGTGATACATTTCTCAAAATTATTCTGCAGTCATATTATATGAGATTGCCATGATACGTAAAGTGTGAGACAATTGTATAACCCTTATTAAACACCAATTGAAGCAAAACACTCAAAATAGTACATTCTGATCTTAAAACATTTGAATTATGTAAAATTATACATCATGCATTTATGTCCATTAATGAGATAAAGATG